TTGGCCACTCCTGATTTCCTCAACTGTCATTATCTCTCTGCAGACCCCGGTAACTGTTGTTGTTTTTTACCTCAGAACACTGAGCTCTGCAGCTGACCAATCAGAGAGTGGGGGGTGCAGAGAGGCAGCTGCCTGGCAGCCGCATAGGAATCAATGGGGGAAGCACATTTCCTCCCTTGTGACCCACTTAGGGGTCGAATTTCTAAAAATCCCTTCTTAGCGAGCACCTACGCCACGGTAGGAGTGCTCTCTAGGTCCAGTGGTTTGGCCTGGGCGTTGATTTTACACTGAGGGGACTTTCTTTTATATATATAGATGTTGCCTTTCTGCAAGAAAAATCTTCAAAGCAGCATATGATGAACAATCAAAACAGTGAAGTACAGATTAAAATTGATCAATTACAGTATCATAAAAGTGAACACTAAACATATTCAGCTACTGAGAAGATTAGCAGCCTCCTCCCTAAAACCACATTTACCACAGATTTCCTGCTCCCACTCTTGTAATACAGAAGTGTGCCTCCTAGGGCAGGTTCAATGCTTCTACTTGTGGTTTCAGATTCTACTGATACTGGCTTAAAATATAAATGTATATATGGACATAGGAAGCTGCTTTATCTGCTCTGGTCCATCTAAGTCAGTATGATTTCCAAAGTATGATCTCCAGATCTTCAGACAGGGAAAAGTCTTTCAACACTTGCTACTTGAGTTCCTTTAACTCAAGATGGCAGAGTATGAATCTTGGACATGCATGAAGGCTTGCACTCTATACACTGAGCCATGATCCCATCCCTGTTATCTTCACCTGCTGCTTAAATGCAATCCATTTACTCATTTTAACTTGGTTTGAGCAGGCTGCCTGACTGTGCCCTCTTGAGCATGAACACCCACTACTGCAAGAACAGTCACAGCCAAGTAGCCACAGGTTGTTAACAGACCCCAAGCAGCTGTGTCTTGCAAAGATCAAGCTACATCCACAATTGACTGTTACAGCCACAAACTTGAACAAGCTCTTAGTATCCTTCTTCCGGGGGCCGGAATGTGTTTTACTAGCCACATGGCTGATACATAATCTTTACAATTTCTTATAAAACAGAGTCATTGAGTTAAATCGTCTTAACATTTTTAAGGAGGGGGAAATGACACCTTCAAGGTATTTTACTGGAAAACCAAGTAGAAAACATACTGTTCTTCCCCATATAATCAAACTGACAATGGAAGGCATGCCTGCTGACCAAGTTCCCCCCATATGTCCTGTTTAGAATGAAAGAGGAAGTGAAAAAGTAGAGGTACCAAAGCCCGAGTCAGGTTGCCAAATGCTTGCAGGAAAAAAGGTCTTGTTCCTTTACAGAGACTTAATAGAAAGTTATTTACCAGGTAATGTTATTTACCTCTGTGCCATGAAAAACTTCAACTGCCTACTTCCACACATTAACCTTCTATTAGAGGGACAGACCCTGATGCTGGGAAAGATTGACGGTCAAAGAAGACGGGGACGGCAAAGGATGAGATGGTTAGACAGTGTCATAGATGCAATGAACATGAAATTGAGCCAACTTCGGAGGACGGCGGAAGACAGGAAGGCCTGGCGTGATCTGGTCCATGGGGTCGCGAAGAGTCGAACTCGACTGTGTGACTGAACAACAACAGAGGGACAGAGCATTTTTCTTCAGGCCCATTGGCAACCCTAAACTTGAGAAAACGAGGTCCAGTAGGACACTGGCATTATTTTCTTTTTGTGTGTCACCACCAGGTTGATTGCTATGCCCAAAGGATGGGATGAGCACGAGGCATGCAGGGGATATGCTGACCCTAAACAAGCCCCATATGAATGCTTCCTAAATAATTTGCATTTGGTTTGGAATACATGTAAATTCTTGATCTATAATTGCCTCTGACTTCTGGGTTCAGCTTTCTTTCCTTCTAGCAAGTCTATGTGGCCTTCAAGGACAGATTTCTTGAGAGTAGAGTTACCAGAAAAATGTCCTCTCCTTTCAGTGGAGGCTCAATGCATGGAATTGGGCAGCTGATGCTTTCCAAGCTCTGGAGGTAAATAACATCACCTGGTAAATATCTCATTAAGCTGGTATCAAAGGGCTGGACTTTTTTTCCTCCAGGTAGTTGGCAACGCTATCATACAGGAATTCGCTTAAATGGGTACCTTGTCCTGACCAACTGACAAGTATGAATGGGAACGGCTCCTATTCATTTCCACTGAGGAGCAAAGAAAAGTTTACCCCTTCAATGACCAGATGGCTCAACTTCCATCATTTAGGAAGCAAATAAATAAATAAATAAATAAATAAAATCATTTCCCCCTCTCCTACCTACTATCACCTGCATTGGCCACGTAGAACTTTCCCAGGAGGTAAACCACAGCCAGAGCACAGCAGCCTCCAGATACATGCCGGGTCACCCGCTCTTGCTCAATCTGTTTGTCCTGAGGAGACAGAAAAATAAGCTCACAGGAGGAAGGTGGCAGGAAAGCAACCAGATCAGATCATGGAGTAAAACAAGCCCAACTGCCTGTTTTATGGAGGAAAAAAATGCTCCTTTGTGGACAATCAGGGACATTGGAGAATGTAATTCATTCCCTGCCCACCGGTTTCTTGCTTCAAATCTACCACTGCAGAAATTCCCCCCAGTCCAGCATTTTAAATATACATTTTCCCACATTTGAAATATAGTCTATGTGAGGAGAAAATCTGTTTTCATGAGTAAGTTGAAGAAAGAAAATGGTGGACAGGGAAGGCCTGGTCTACACATGCAGCAGATGGAAGCGAAAGGGAGGTGGCAGAATGAACTATACCGCTTCAGACTGTGAGCAAGAGACTATGTTTTATTTCAAAGTTACCCTACATTAATTTCCCATTGAAACTGGAAAACTAGCACAACAAGCCAACAACACATTTTTTTTCCCTCTGATGTGCTGATTTGTTTTAATTTGAAGGGAATTTTTATACGGGAGAGCATGTTAAAATGTGACTCTCCCCACTTCCAATGGGCTACGGCCCATTCTCCCATCAAGATTATATGGCTTCATTTTGCTACATGTGAAGACCAAGCTTGAAAACCAAACTAGATAAGAGGGTGTACCCAAATATCCTCTTGAGATGCACTGTGATTTTAAAGAGTTCCCATTCATGAATTCCTTTAAACTGTGTCACAGGGACCCAATTCTGGTTCAGACCACCATGGCATGTGGGAGGGAGGGATCTTGCCTTCCTCCATGCCATTTCTCCAACCAACATTTTTCCGAAATGGCACCAAGGGTGTTATTTGCCCATACACCTGCCGGCACCATTTCAGGTGGCGAAAAAGTGAGGGGGAGGGGCAGGATGGGAGCAATCTTTACCTCTCAGCTCATCTGCTTTCAAATGCAAACAATTCCAAACTATTAAACCTGCCTTCGGTTTCCCTCTCTCCTCCACCTCATGGGAGAGCTTGTATTTCAGCTGCTGAGATGCCTATTCTATTTTGCAAAGTGGCTCCCTTGTCTAGGAGAGGGAGCTTGTTTAATTTGCACTGCAATCTTGCAAAGCACCATGTGGTATTCCAGGGATATCATCTGTTTATCTGAGTCGCTTTTGAATCGTATGATGATATGGTGTTTGAGCAGCCCTGAGCAAGTTTCTGCCCACATATCAACCCCAGAATAGATGAGGGAAAAGTCTGAGATGAGGGAAAAAACAAGAAGGAAGCAAGCAGAGTTCAGTACACCTATTGCTTCCCACAGGGCTAGAAAAAGATAGTACAGTACAGATAATATCTGTGCATATATGCATGAAAGTAACTGTAACAGCAAGGTGGAAAAGATTATGGCTGAAACCTATGGATAGTCAAAGAGGCTAAAAAGGTTTTTACTGCGGAGGTGGCACCACAGAAATAATACCACAGTTACCCTGTGCCGGATGCCAGAGCAGGAAAGGAGTTCTGAAACTATCTTACAGCTCTCACTAGTAGAGGTGGTTAATCCTCTTTGCTGTCCCACAATGGATTCACATAGTCAGATAATGTGTGGACCATTTTCTACACTGTACACTGTACTATGCCACAATAACATGTGTGAAACTGCTATCACAGATCAGCTATTATGGAAAATTCTTTCCATAGTTCGACTCACATGTGAAAACTACTATTTTCAGGTGTTACTATTGACCGTGCATACAGAATGTACTACATGTGATTCTCCTGATGTGCACTCTCACCATTTTGTCTGGAAGGGGCAACCTGTGTATATCGTAGCTTCAGAACATGTGTACCAAAGCTAAAATACACATTGCAACAAAATTAATCAGGAGAATAACATCTAATGCATTCTTCTTGTATAAATGGTCAAATGTAATGCCTGAAAACAGCTAGTGCACCCTTGACAACTGTCCCACAGGAAAGAGCAACTATACAGCAGCTGGAGTTTAGCACGCAAAAAGCTACTCCTATAGGTGACTTCACTCACTTGCTACTGTGAAACCACATCTACTCCTGAAAAACTAGTCTTCACAAAATAACCTACAACAAAACCTTGGCAAATTCCTTCCTACCACCTGAAAGCATCTTGTCACCTTCCCTTGAACCTTCTGACAGCTCAGTGTGCATACTAGCTAATAGCATGCTTGCTAATGAGCTTAATGCAAATGTGATGTTTTGCGGAAACTGTTTGGTGTACCTTATTCCCTATGCTGGAGCAGAAATAAGAGGGCTCAAACTGTACAGGGCTGAGCTGCAGAGGAAAAGCAGACTCCTAATCTGCAGCTAGGTAAGCAAATACCCAGTCAGACCAAAATAGTCATGGGTTGCTATGTCAGCATCTTGGCTGCAAAAGGAAGTGAATGCATATTCCAGATGGAGAACAGCCAGGCCGGACAGGAACCATCCCTGATCCGAGGACTCTCTCCAATCATGTTTATCTTCATGTCACTCTGAGGAATATGTCAAACAGTATGAGAATGTTTTGTTATTTATTTAGATTTCTTTCATCCCCTGTCCAAAATGTCAAAATGGTTCAAGACAGGTTACAAATCCCCCCTCATCACATTTCAGCCTTGTAAGAAGAATTAAACTGATAGAGAACAACTTTCCCAAAGCCATTTACTGAATTTCATGGCACGGTGGAATCTGAAGCTAGAACTTCCCAGTTCCAGTTCAATACTACACCACACTTGCACTCTCTCTCGCTCTCCTGTACAAATGATACATGTTTCTTGAAACTATACAAATTAAGCACAGTTTTGATTGTTGGGGGCTGCAGCTTAAACTGATCTAGAATCTGTGCCAGATCAGGAAGCTGATTTTTGGATCTCTGCAGTCCTACAACACTGGATCAGCCTATTTCTTCAGAGCTTCCTATCCCCCCCCCCCGGTTCACTTACCATCTCTTTGAATGCATTCTCAATGGCTCCCACTACCAAACTCTCATGGGAAACTGCTTTTTCCATATGGAAACGTGGCAAGGCACTGTTGGGGACCTCAACTTCTTCCTCTACCAAGGGAGCCCTATTTGGTTCCCCTGAAACTGTCCGGGAAGCATCTTGCAGGCAGATCGGAGGAGGTGAGGAGTCTTGGAGGATGTCTACTAATTCTCTGAGGTGATCACGGATGTGGAAGTGTAGTCGCTTAGATGCCATGACTGCAGCCCCACTTCCAGCATGTCCATCGAACAAACCCCAGTAATAAAAGTACAGGCCTTTTTTGTCCGGCTGGAGGGGGAAAAGGAAAAGATTGCTCTAAAAAGATGCCAAAAGCACAAAACAAAACAAAAAAATCCACAAACAACCCCCCAAACTTAAAAAAAACCCTTTAGAAGGTAAGAGGCAAGAGGCAATTGTGATGTGCAAGTCTGCTGTGTAGTTTCTGCCATTAAGTCAGACCACTGGTCTATAGAGGTCAGTATTGTCTACTCAGACTGGCAGTGGCTCTCCAGGGGCTCAAGCAGAAGTCTTTCACAGCACCTGCTACCTACTCCTTTTGACTGGTGATGCTGGGGATTGAACCTGGGACTTCTACATGCAAAGCATATGCTCTACCATGGAGCCACCTCACAAGGGAAGGGCCATCGCTCAGTGGTAGAGAATCTGCTTGACACACAGAAGATCCCAGGTCAATCCCCAGCATTTCCAGTTAAAAAGGACCAGGCAGTAGGTGATGTGAAAGACCTCTGCCTGAGACCTTGGAGAGCCTCTGCCAGTCTGAGTAGACAGTACTGACTTTGATAGACTAATTGTCTGATTCAGTAGAAGGCAGCTTCATGTGACAGTGTACTCTGTGCCCCTGAAAGAAATCAAAATAAGAGTGTCAAAGTACCCCAAATTCTGTACCAAAACAAGCTGACTCCTGCCTAATTTACTGTTTAACAGTCATTTTTATCCCACCCTACTAAGCAGTGTAGGCCAGAGGTGTTGAACTCAATACGAGGGCCAGATCTGACATAAATGTCACTTTGTTGGGCTGGGCTATGTGTGCCATAAAATGTAACATGAGATGCCAGAGATATAAACTTTATAAAGGTGCTTTCAGATGTCAAATAGCAATAGCAGATGAGTGACAATAGCAGGCATGATTGGATTAGGTGTGATATGCAGAGGGTTAGTAATGCTTTGATAATGAGACAGGAAGCCTAGGTCTCAATTCCATCCAGGAGGATTCAGTCCAGGAGGATGCAAACAATAAATGGACATAACTCTGGCATTAGAAACCAGAACATTCAGTTGCTGACCTAAGAGTAGCAGTGCTCTTACAAAGGAATTTCAAAGGGAGATTAGAAAGAGAGACTGCTGAATTGCAATTGATAATGAAGCTCAAAACAATGCATCCTCCTGGACTGAATTGAGAGCTAGTTTTCTTGCCTCATTACCAATGTGTGCTATTATCATTTGGTATCTGAAATCACTCCACTCTTCAAGATATAAGGACCAATCCAAGTATTCTAATTCCTAATCAAGATCTTTTTGAAAAATAAATAAATCCAGATATGAACAGAGAAATCCAATCTTAAAAAAACAAAACTTTTCAGAATAAGCCAAAATAACTTCCTCAATGTACATTGTGCTTGCCAGAAGAACCCCCTCCCTAGAAGTATGCTTGCACACAAAAGCTTATACCTGGAATAAAACATTGTTGGTCTTGAACCTGTAATGGGATTCCAACTTTGTTTTCTCTCTCTCCTCCCCTCCCTCCCCAAAAGAGGAGGAACAGCCCCGGAGAAGGAAGCAAAAGCTGTGTGTGTGTGCGCATGTGAGAGAGAGTCCGAGGCTTGTGTCTTTGTATCTCTCCTGCATGAAGCAGGAAGCAGCCACGGAACTCTGTGTGTGTGTGTGAGAGAGAGAGAGAGAAAGAGAGAGAGAGAGGGAGGGAGAGAGAGAGCAAGGGAGCACAGAGGCGATAGACAGGAAACAGGAAGCAAAAAGCCACAAGGGAGATGGGGGGAAAAGCAAGCTACAGTGCAGCTGCAGCAGCAGCCCTGGGAAAGGAAGCAGGAGAAGGAAGTTGTTCAGGGGCCAGATTTGAGCCCTTTGCAGGCTGCGTCCAACCCATGGACTGCATGTTTGACACCCCGGTCTAGGCCGTCATACTCTGGATTCAGCTTTTCAATTTTATCCTCAAAACATGGCCCATGGTCACCCAACAAGCCAAGTGAGGATTTGAACCAGGAATTCCCCAGTCATAGTCTGATACACTATACAACACTGACTCTCATTCTTGTACAAATGATTCTTATCACTGTATTATCTTTACTTTATGAGTCACCTGAGCAGGTCTCTGGTGAGGTGGCATACAAAACACATGTTTCTGCTAATTTGTATGCTGTGTTGAATTTAATCTGCTTCTGTTGGTCCTGCAGAAGACAAGAAGTAATGCTCTGGCCATAGCTAATAGACACCTCATTCAGCAGTTTTCCTGGCTTTTGAGAATTCATTAGGCAGTGCCCATATATTCCACATGCTTGAAACCTTTTGTGGCATCATGAAGGCTCAAAACATGAAGCTGCCCAATACTGAATTAGAGTATTTGTCCATCACAATCAGTATTATCAACTCTGACTGTCAGTGGTTCTCCAGGGACTCAAGGCAGAGGTCTTTCACATCACCTATCACCTAGCTGGAGAACTGGGGGATTTAACCTGGGACCGTCTGCTGCCAAGCGGATGCTCTTCTGCTGGACCATAGCCCCTTCCCCTCAAACACCTTACTTAAAGTAAAGCTGCAGTGATTCCTGTGTTGATGGCCAAGGGAAAGGTTTGCAAAACCCATTGGCAGTTCCACATATAGTCTGGCTCACACAGGCCCACAGATGGTAGAGAAATGTCCAGATTAAACATGTGAAGAAGGCAGTGTCACGAGTGAACTGGTTTCAAAGGTGCCACTGGACTCAAACTTTGCCCTGCTGATTCAGACCAACACAGCTACCCATCTGGATCTATCTTGGCCCTTAACAGTTAGTAGCTGAGAAGAAGAGGAGGAGGAGATTGGATTTATACTCCACCTTTCACTACCCAAAGGAGTCTCAGAGTGGCTTACAAACTCCTTTCCCTTCCCCTCCCCACAACAGACACCCTGTGAGGTAGGTGGGACTGAGAGAGCCCTGACAGAAATTGCTCTTTTTCAAGAACAGCTGTGCCAGAACTATGGCTTGCCCAAGGTCATCCAGCAGGTGCAAGTGGAGGAGTGGGGAATCAAACCCAGTTCTCCCAGATTAGAGTCCATGCACTTAACCACTACACCAAACTGGCTCTCTGAGGACTGAAGCTACCTTGTTATCAAAACAGGATGGAAATAAGATGCAAACATAGGATTATAAATTAACTCTGGGAACAGGCAAAGTTCTAATGATTATGCTGCTTACCACCTCTGGGTCTCCAGATGTTTCCTTGGAGGCTGGGTTATTCCTCTGACTGCCTCGCTTTTCCACAAATACTACCTCACAGCAGGCTTGATCCTCATTGTGCTGGCTTTTGCCAGCATTTATCACCCTGGGAAGGAAAGAAGGACACAGAGAACCACAAAATTTGGTCAGGGCAAATGTTTGATTTGAATGGATTTCATGATGCCTGCCTACCCTTTGTCCCTCATACAAAGGATACCTGAGACTTGAGACTATTATTTTCTTCAGAAAGTTGAAGACAATCATTCTTCTGAGGCAACCTGACATATTTATGCATGCCAAGATCTGCTGTCTCAGATGGACTGTTTTACACTGCTGAAAAACCTGCCCTGACACAGCCAATACACTCTTTGCCTACTTTTTTTTTTTGCTATTTATATATTGCCCATTCGACTAAAAGTGACAAAATAAAGGCGTGTTTCCATCAGTGGTCCCCAATCCTGATGGCCATCTTTGGAATTCTGACACAGGGTGGGGTGGGTACAGCTACAAAATAACTGCCGTGGGAGTTGAAGCCAAACACACATCCAGAGAAGTG